GATTAGATAAGAAAGCAAGACCTAAATATGTACTCCTACAAGAAACACAGTTCAATTATAAGTCTTAATGTGAGCAGCAAAGATTTTTTTCATTCATTTCCAGGTTATAAATATTACTTCTCTGGGAAAACAGAAATTATCCAAAAAAAAAAAAAAAAAAAAAAAACAACAACAAAAAAACCTCTTTATTAAATCTTATTATTACAGTGTTCCCAGACTCAACCTATCTCTCACTTGATTCCTCAACAGGATTCATCATCTTACGCCTTTCCCTAATGCTTCAGACAGGTAGAAAAAAAACTGTGGGGCCCTCCCTGGTGGCGCAGTGGGTTAAAGCACAGCACTGAGAAGCTTAAGCCACTTCCACATGAGTTCAATTCCCGCCTGCCCCGGAGGAGATCCACATGGTGGGGCAGACCTCTCCTGGCCCACCCGCTGCTCCCCTAAGCAGTATACTTCGTCGATATGCCTGTTCTGTTCCCTGCTCTGTCTCTGGTGAATCCTCTCACCGCATCTCTGGCCTGTACCCTAGTTCTGTATGAATAAATAAATCTTTAAAAAAAATTAAAAAAAAAGAAACTGTGGAATGAGCAAGGAGTGATCACAGCAAGCTACATCCACTAGCCACTAGGACAGCACAATGTGAAATAACTAGAATATGAACTGCCTTCCGTTATTCCAGAAACCTCATCTTCCATGGCGCTGAGCTATTCCCCACCCACCCCACCAGCCACTGGTCCTCTGTTCCATATAGAGGTTCCCACATGACTGACACCAGGGGGGTGCCTGATCTATGTCAGAGGAGGTTATGTCCCAGCAGACACAGGTTAAATCCAAGTCTTGCTCAACCTTTCCTTCTCCCACAGGCTTAATATTAAACCAGTTACCCATTCTGGTTGGTTCTGACTCCTAAATATACTTAGACCTTTCCTTGGTTGAAGTGCTCAATTTGTTTCACCTGACAACTACATTCGCTTTAGATACATTCTCTGCCTTCATTCTGACTTTCTGTCAAACTATTCACTATCCTCGCCCTTAGAGAGTCATAAATTGCAATCTCTACTTGTTGAAAACCTTCCAAAACTCCAAACTTCCTATAATAAAAGTCCAAACTCCTTAGTATTGCATTTGATAGCATGTTGTATAATCTTACTTCAACAATGCTTCCAACTTTATCCCTCAGGTTTAACCTTTATACTCCAGTCACATGAAAGGCTCTGGAACACAGTTTTTGTCTCTCCATGACTTTCTCCATGTTCTGTCCTTTAGCAGGCACTCCCCCTTTTCTCTGATGGACTATTAACTTTCAAGAACCAGCTCAAGTTGTTAATTAATTAGTTAATTAATTTTTAACAAAGCCTTCTTAGGATGCAGCTGATATTGTGAGACATCAAGGATTGTAGATGATTAATTAGGGCCCTCCCTGGTGGTGCAACAGGTTAAAGCACAACACTATGAAGTTACCATAACCATGGCAGCACAAGTTCAATCCCTGGCCAGGGAGGTGATCCACATGGTGTGGCAGACCTCTCCTGACCCACCCGCTGCTCCCCTCAGCAGTGTATTTCAGTGCATCTGGCTGTTTGCTCCCCACTCTGGTGACTCCTTTCAACTCCTGCACCTGTGGCCTGTACCCCAGTTCTGTATACATAAATTTAAAAAATCTTAAAAAAAAAAGATGACTAATTAAAACACAAATGCTACTCTTAAGATGTTCACCCAAATGCTATTCTTAAGAAGCTCAGTGTTCTTTATGTAGTATATATAATAAGAAGTACAGAATTACAACAAATAATTACAATATCATATGTGGTAGACTGTCACCCTGATGGCCCCTGTGACCATGCTTCTTGGTATCCATATGCCCTTGTGTAGTTTCTCCCAGTTGACATGGAATGAGACATCATGCATTGGCCAGTGGGAATTAACTAACATGATTCAAGCAGAGCCTTGACAAGCACTTATATATAGGGGCTTGTCCTTTTGGAACGTTCTTTTAGAAGTCAGCAGCCATACTGCAAGGATATTCAGGTCACTCTCTGGGTAAAACACCACAAGAAGAGAAAAAAGTCCCATGAAAGGAGTTGAAGTATCCCAGTTGAGCTCCCAGGTGAATATGCTGCATGAATAACCCCAGTCAATGCCAAGTAAGGGGTCCTGCTCAACATTAAGTAGAGCAGAAGATCGCCACAGAATCAAGAGAAATAAGTCATTATTGTTTTGTTTGTTTGTTTAAGATTTACTTATTTCTGCACACAGAACTGGGATACAGGCCAGAGGCTCAAAGGCAGCGAGAGGCTTCACCAGAGACAGAGTGGGGAGCAGAATAGGCAGATCTATGAAGTACACTGCTGAGGGGAGCAGCGGGCAGGCCAGGAGAGGTCTGCCAGTTATTATTGTTTTAAGTCAGCATATTTTAGAATGGCAGTTAACATAGTAACCAATTATATTAAAAGGGACACAGTACCTAAGTACAGTGATGGAAGGCTGTTTGTACACTGTTCAGGAGTAGCAAAGGGAAGGAAGTTATTTTCTTTGTACATCATGGGAAGAGAAAATGTCAGGGAACATTTCACAGAGTTGAAGCTGAAGTTGTGAGAGAAGGATGGAGCAGATTTTTACAAAGCAGAGAAAAGGTATCTCTGGCTAAGAAAAGAACAAAGGCACATGTACATGACCCAGAATGGCATTTAGGCAACTGTGAGAGGTTCTATACACTGTTGGTGAGAAAAGCATAAAAGGGGAGATGAGGTTGACGAGACTGGGAGTGGGGGGTGGAGGAGGTAAAGCAGGCAAGGACTAGGCCATATACAGTCTCCTGGATAAAAGAAAACTGAGAACAGTGTTTTTTATTTTGAAGGCAGTGAGAAGCCACTGACAAGTCTCACCTGTAAAATTGACATGCTCAGTTTATTATTTTAAAAAGTAACTCTGTACTGATACATATAAATTGGAGGAAAAACTAAATGCAGGGAGGATGCAGTCATAAGCTAAAGATAATTGAGACAAGCACAGAAAGAAGGAGATGGATTATAGAGACATTTGAAAGGTCTGAGTAGAACTTTGGAGTAATTGGAAGTGTTTAAAAAGTGTAAAAAAGTGTAAAAAGTGTTTTATTCAGACAGGCTGTAATTACTTTTTAAAATGTTTGTCACCCCAGAACACACTTCTCTAGGACGGGGGAGTTCTCATCTTTCCCCCAGTGCCTGGCATAGAAAAGGTACTCAGTGAAAACATACTAAACAAATGAAGATTCTTTATGCACTGGTCTGGGAAAATATTTGTCATACACAATACTGCCTTTATAGGTCAAAAACACAAAACACAAATCATTTTAATCCATTTGCAACTTAGCTATTGCTGCATACAGAGCTCTAGCTGACAACACCTTACTTCAATCAAAACATAAAGTTTTAGGCCCTCCCTGGTGGCGCAGTGGGTTAAAGCACTGCACTAAGAAGCTTAAGCCACTACCGCATGAGTTCAAACCCCGCCTGCCCCGGAGGAGATCCACATGGCACGGCAGACCTCTCCTGACCCGCCTGCTGCTCCCCTCAGCAGTGTACTTCGTCGATCTGCCTGTTCTGCTCCCCACTCTGTCCCGGTGAATCCTCTCACCCTCCGCATCTCTGGCCTGTACCCCAGTTCTGTATGAAAAAATAAAATAAATCTTTTTTAAAAAAATCAAGTTTTAATTTGTGAATACAGATTGCAAGATTTATTTATTTATTTTGTACAAGAACTGGGGTGTAGATAAATATCATACCTTTTGTAGCAACATGGATGAAGCTAGTGAACTAAAGAAAGAAAAAGAAAAATACCAGATGGTTTCACTCACATAAAGGACCAGGGGTAAGAATATAATAATGAGCAACTATATACCAGAGACATTTTATGGGGGTGGAGTGGGGAATGGGATCAAAAGTGGGGGTGGAGAGGTAAATGCACAGGACTATAGTGATGGCACACGGATAAAGTGGTGATGGGAAGTCCATGGTGATTGCAGCTGAGATGAAAAAAGGCACAAAGTGATGTAAAAATAAACAATTATAATTTTAAAATGTTATGAAGTAACACAGAAAAATATCATTTTGATTTATTTTGGAGGTGGTAAAATACAGATCTGTTGTTTTCTGTGCTTCTCTGTACTTGTAAGATTTTAAAACTTGAAAGTAAAACTGAACAATTAAAAAAAAAAAGAACTAGGGTGTAGGCAAGAGGTACAGAAGCTGATAGTATTCATCAGAGAGAGAGAGTAGGGAGCAGATCACGCAGATCTACTGAAATGTACTGCTGAAGGGAGCAGTGGGCGAGACAGGAGAGGTCTGCCACGCCATGTGGGTCAGCTCCCTGTTCGGAGATTGAATCAGGTCTCAGTGGTGATAGCACTGAGATTTAACCCCTATGCCACTAAGGAGGCCCACTATATCCTAAATTTCTCAAAATGTGGGTAATCTTTCCTGATATACTAAGAAAGTACACCTTACTATCATGAAATTCATGTAACCTAGAGTTCAGTTTTCTTCATGCCACACCTTCGGAAGCACTGTTACAGGGTAACCTCATGTGAACTGGGTTGAAACCTGTCTCTTTAGAGTTTGTGCAAGACATCCTTTCCTCCTAACAGCACCACATATAAGAGAGCTTGACTTTGGGTTTGTTTAAAAAATAAATGAAAACCGGCCCTCCCTGGGGGCGCAGCGGGTTATAGCACAACACTAAGAAGCTAAAAACCACTTCTGCATGAGTTCAATCCCCACTTGCCCCAGATGTGACCACATGGTGCAGCAAACCTCTCCTGACCCACCCGCTGCTCCCCTCAGCAGTGTACTTCAACGATCTGTCTGTTTTGCTCCCCACTCTGTCCCTGGTGAATCCTCACACCACCCCTGCACCTCTGGCTTGTACCCCAGTTCTGTATGCATAAATAAATAAATCTTTTTAAAAAAATGAAAACCAAACAAATACTCATAAAAAAAACCAAAGTCCCCAAATCTTACCTCCAGTGTCTTATCCAATTTGGCAGCTAGCCTTCCAATTTCATATAACAGCTGGGGGCTAATGGGAATTTCAGCTACAGGTCTTCCTGGGAGGTAAGTCAGCAGCCTCACCAAGTAGCTTTTGGTTTCAGACCCACTATCTAGATGGATGGAATGACATATTCTTTCAATTAATCTTGAAAAAAAAATTAAAAAGTTATTTTGTTTTTGCAATCATTGCCAAGAATAAGAGAGATGATACAATACAAAAAAAACAATGTGCCAACCAGAAGAATTCTATGAGGCAGAACAGATTGGATGGATGAAAAAGGTAGAAAGGATAAACCTTAGAAAATTGGAATCAATCATATGGAAACAAAATTAAAGCTTTAGCTCTGCCAGCCTTAGCACTAAACATAAGTTATATTTTCTGGTAAGTGGTTACCTAAAACACTTAAGTTTACAATTGAGAAATAGTGGGATATAAAAAATGACTGCTTTAGAATCAAAGCTTCTTAAAGACATGCTGGGGAGTAGCTTGTGTTTGCAACACAGAACAATAACTATGCCTCAGGAACTGTTACTGGGTTAGTTATTTGGAGGAATGCAAATTTAGATAGATAGGATGAACAATGAAAAGAGAAAAAGACAGCTGAGATTTCAAGCCTTCAAAAAATGCCAAGGAATTTATCTCAGGTTGCTTCTTAAGAGCATTCTATTAGGCACATTTTAACATTTCAGCATTTAGAGGTGAAAGAGACCAAGTTTAATAGAGGACTTGTAGTCTTCTGAATTTTAAGTGATATACGCAAAGTCACACAAACAGTATTGACAGAGCTGGGATCTAAAATTGATTTTAGTTCTATGGCCTATCAACTATGTAACAGCACCAAAACAGACTGTTGCTGTGATGATTACAAACATTTAATTATGTTTTTGCCTAACCAGCCCCCCTCCAAAATAAGTCCTCTGATTTTTGCAAGACCTGTTAGTAGCTTACCCAGCAGATCCTTTCTAAGCGGATGTGTTAGCATCAGATCCCAGATTTAACCCCTTCTGCATGAGAGCCCCAACTCCCACCTGGGTGATGCTATGGCTTCTTTCAATAGCTGAAACCTGGAACTATGAACCTGTTCTTATTATTGATATTTGCAATCAAAATGTAGTAATGTAAATGAATAAGTGACAGATCAATGAAATTGGTCTCTTACCTACAGACATGAGAGAGGTTATGTTGTCCCCTTTAGTATGAAAAACAGAGGCTGTTGGAAATCCAGCTGCTCTCAGAAACATGATGATTTGACTCTGCACTTCAATCAGGTCTGGGGTTTTGCTAGACTCAGTGTTATTTATTTTGAGGACATATTCAGCTGGACCATCAGTAGTGTCTTTGGTTCTTGAAATACATACATGAAAGTTTTGGTCATCATAGCTAGGAAGTGGCAGGATCTTGGAAACTTTTAATCCAAATACTGATTCCACTACTGCACAGGCTTGTGCTTCACTGAAAGTGGGTTTGGTAAGAGCCTGTGATTGTTGATCGTCTTCACTTGACATTATGTCTGGGGGGAAAAAAAATCTAGAAAGGGGACATATAATACATATGTTTATTTAAGTGATTTCTCTTAAAACAAATCAATAATGTTTCTCAATATTGATTCTGTACTTTTTGAGAATATTTTCACTCAAAGTTCAAAAACTATGTTCTGCAAATGAGATAAGGTAGATATTTTGACAAGTGAACAAATACCCTTCCACCAAAAATTATTTTAAAACTCACCTTGTATGCTGCTGTTACCTTTCAAATGACAGAACACAGACGTGGAAAGCATACTGGTATTATCTAGTCAAATGTTGTGGTAAATTTCAGTCTTGATATGTTATGTGCCTTACCCAATATTACATAACCACTGTTACCAAAAGAATGAAGCTCTTTTGAACCAGGTTTATGTTATTTTGACTATGTCACCACCAGTTTGGGGGATTAAAATAAAAACTAAAGTACAAGGGCCTTACTTTTCTGTTCATAAATTTTGTTAAATTGTAAGAATCATCATCTTGCTTATCTAAACCTGTATTTTAAACATGAAAGCATGGATTGATCTGCAAAGTATCATGTGAGGCAATGTGGAGCTATGAAGATAAGCTTGGAAAGTTCAATTACATCTGAAAAATTAACTCATCATCACAGCTACCCTAAATAAGACATTTAAAATCTTTTCAGAACAATTTACAAGGTAGTAATATTAAAAACAATAGAATGCCAGCAAAAACCCTGACTTAGGCACAAACTGAAATAATTGAATTAATTCTAAAGTAACTGAGTTTACCTTAAATTGTAAAGAATAAATATTCAGTATATTATCATCACCAGATAACAGTTAAAGTTTTCCCTTTAAGAACAGGAATAATCTGAGATGTACTCTTCCTCAAGTGAGTCAACAATGAAAACAGCCAAATCAGAACATCAGCATGCATTCCAGTCAACTGACGCCTGATGTAGTTCTACGAAAAAGTCCAAAGTAACAAAAGGCATGTGTAAAGTCACGTGGATAACTGAGGACTTGCTGGGGGCTGAGAGTGGAGAGATGGAAGATGTGTGGTGTGGGAAACGCTGGTCCCTTCTGAGCAGTGACCAGAAGGTTTTACTGCTAGGCTAGGAAGGACCTGCACTTGACCAGGAATAAAGCAAAAGAGGTCCACTGCCACCACTTCCATTTAACTTAGTATTAGAAGGCTTGGCTAGCACAATCAAACAACAGGAATAAAAGGAATCCAAGCTGGAAAAGAAGCAAAACTATCACTTCAATTGTAGAATACATTTTCTGTTGCTAGGAAGAAGAGAGGTTTGAAATAAAAAATAGGGTTATTTTAAAAATTAAATTATGAGCTTAAAACTGTAACAAAAATCCAGGAAAGCTAATCTTGAGAAGACAGAATAAAGCCTTTGTGACTGGGACAGGATGGGGTTGGGGAGACTAACTTCTTGGTAATGCCACCCTCTGCTACACTTACATTCCAATGGAGGGCTTCTGAATAGCCTCTGGAAACAAAGTATTTAATAGCCTTGCAAATTCACATTCCCCTCTCCCCAAAATACCTATATTCCAACTTTTATTCATGCTAATTTGCAAATAATTGATAACACCTCAAGAGTGAGTTGCAATTTAGGATACAATTTTGATTGCTATTCAATGGATGCTGTATTACACAAAAAGAATCTCAGGAACAGTTAGCTCTCAGGGATAGAAATCCAGACAGGCGTTGCTTCTGGTAAGGAAGCTGTATGAAAGAAAGAATTTTAGGAGTCCCATTGCTTAACGAGGCTTTGCTTACACGGGTGTTATCCATTTCTCAAAACTTAGCTTAAAGTAAAAGCTTCAAATCTGTGCATTTCATTGGATGCCATTGTCAAAACACAACTTACCCCGCCCCCCCCCGCCCCCCCCCGTCAGAAATCGGCAAGGTCAGTGGGGGAGAGTTGGCCACCTCGGAGGAGGTTTGCTTGGTGCTTACCTGAAGAGCTCAGGAAGCCTTCCTCGTCGCCAGCCGCACCTGCCAAGCCCAAAGGGGTTTCCCTACCGCAAACTTGGCACGGAGATCTCGAGGGCTTCGCTTCGTGGAAACTAGTCTTCAATGCAGGTTGCGAGAGTAAAGTTGACAGCCTCAGGTGGCTCGCTGCCTGCGGTCCCCGCCCAGCGCCCGAACCGCTGGACACTGGGACCAACCCCCCGGGAGGGGGCGGGGGAGCCGCGCCCTCCGCGCACGCGCTGTTCGCCCTCAGGCATCCTGGCTTCCCCCGGCAGAGCTGACTTGAGGCTGCCCCCGCCCGCACGCCCTCCCCTTGGGGCTGGCAGTTTTTCTCGGTGCTTTCCTAGGAGTCACTTGCAGACCTTATCGAGGAAATCAGCTGTGCTGGGGGGGCATCATGAGTCAGGCCCCTAGTAACTTCCGAAATCCCGCGACATTTGACTGGGTATTGCGAGATTTGGGGTGTGAGAAAGAGGTGGAGGTGGGCGGGAAATCAAGATGGGCTTTGGTTTGCCCCTGTACTCTACCCCCTTCCCGTGGCCAGAACAAAGATTAACCCCGGGGAGCCTGGTTGCTGTTCCGGAGTGAGCAAAAGTGGAATGAAGATAAGTTGCAGAAGATCTTTGGGCAGGGGCAGGTTAATGGAAAAGGAGTCTAGAGAAAGGAATTCCATGTATGGTTAAGCTAAGATTGGAAAGGATTTAAGTAAAAATTGTAAATAAAAGCATATTACTACTGAATTTTTTTTGTCTACTTAAGCTACAAAATTTTATTAGATGTTTAGTCTGCTCGTAACAAAAAAGTTATAAACAGGGGGTTTCCTTTATCTTAAAGTTTTGTAATTTTAAAAAAGTTTTTTTTAATCAAGTCTTAGCATAAACCTAGTCGATTCAACATGAAGAGGAAGTTTTGCTCAGAGCTATGGAAACTTCTCTACTCTTTACTTTTTACTTTACTATTTACTTTAAAATTTTTACTTGCCACTTTAAGTAGATAACTGAGTATTAAATTTCGTAACGATCTGTATAATTCTAGAAAGGTGCCTGGAACAATCTCAAAAAGATTTGTTTTCTTTTCTAATGAAATGAAAGCTGTTAAACTAATTAGGCTTATTTGATATGTTAAAGTGGGTGAAAGCATCATCAGTTAAAAAACAATTCTAATCTTCCTTTATTTGTACTTAATAATTACAGGTTGTTCCCACCTGCCTGTGATTGTGCAGGTGCCTCTCCCTTTCTTAGTAAACCTGCCCTTTTAAAATGTAAAATAATAAGTATAGGTTATAAATGTTCTAAATTCTTATGAAATTCTTAAAATGCCCTAGTATAAAGTGCAATTCTCTGAAGGAACTTTACTGATGTGTGCCCCAGGGGAGTGGGGACTCTGTGAGCACAGACCTGGGAAACTGGGAGCTCTTGTTGAGAGGGGCACTGAAAACTCCCTCCCCATGCCTCTCTGGAAGAGATTAAAAAAATGCTAGACCCTTTCCAAAATAAGCCCAGTAGCAGAGAGAAGGATTTGTGAGATAACTCACTAGACATACAAACATTGCAGTCCCACTGATGCTAAAAAAGAGGTAGAAGCAGGGTGGTGCCAGCCATTGTTGGCAACCATAGTGACAAGGCAGCACTCATGGAATCACCACACTCAAGTGCAATGCAGCCTCCCAGTCAAACAAAATTCAGTCCCAGAGCTTGAGCCTGTTGGTGCAGACCTAGCTTCTCCCTAGGAAGACTCAAGTTTCATAGGTTACAGTCTGTTGCAGAAAGGAGCATCAGGAAGACAGCCTACAGCACAGAATACAGCTTGTTGTGGAACAAAGAAGAGGGGTTAGAGGGTTTCACTCTTCAAACTGAGGTTGAGTATTAAAGCCAGAGACTCAAGTGCCCCAATCTCACAAAGTAAACTGAAGAGAAGCAAACAAAACTAAATCCCCATACACATATACAACACGCAACACATATCAACTAAGTCAACATTCATACCTAGAAAACAAGAAACATCTCAACACAAATGTAAAAGCAAATGAGAAGAACAGTAATCCTGAGAAAATTTTACAGAAAAAGAGGACTTATCAAAGACTTCAAAACAACATACTAAAAATGCTAAAAGAGCTACTGGAAGGTTGATCAATCACAGATAGGGAGGTGCAAGAACTTAGAAAGAAGATCCAAGAAGAAAGAGACTGCTTTGCCAAAGGGATTAAATATATTAAAAGATCAGAAAAAGATTCTGAACAAAATGCAAATAAATTTAAACAGCATTTTGCTTAGAATTCAGTAGGTAGAAAAAAAAAATGAAGAAGTAGAAGACTCAAGTGAACAAAGAGAAAGAATTAAGGCAAAGGAAAAATGCAAAAACGATGTCATACTCAGTTAAAAGAAGAAATTTTGCAGTAGGGGCCTCAGAAAGTGAAGAGAGAGAAATGAGAGCAGAAACCCTATTCAAAGAAATAATAACTGAGAATTTCCCTAACTTAAAGAATGAATGTCAAGGAAACAGAATGCCTATATTCTATATGCAAAAAGACCTACATCTAGGCACATATTGTCAAAATATCAAAAATAAAAGAATAAAAATTTGCAGGAGCAAGGGTAAAAGAATTGTAAAAAGGCCCCCAAATCAGGTTTTCCTTAGACATCAGTCTCAGACACTGTCTCGACAACAGAGAGTGGAAGAAAGTGTTCACAATCCTGATTGACAAGAAACACCAGCCAAGAATACTCTACCCAGCAAAATTATAATTCAAGTATATAGGTGAAATAAAGGTTTGTCCTGCCAAACAGAAACTAATGGTATTTATTACCACCAGAACTTCCCTGTAAGAAATGCTGAAAGGAGTTCTTCTAGAAGAAAAAAAATGAAGCACAAATTCTTGAGAAAAAATGACAATAGTAATGTAACACCAGATGCCTAAACAAGAATATTATGAATCAACAACAAAACACTAAGTGAAAGGTAAAAAGGGACAGAACCTGAATAGTTAAATGTTGGATAACAACTACCAGTTCAGAAAGGAATTAAGATATTGGAATCTAAGTAAAAGACCATGGTGATCACAACCCAAAAATCCAGAATAGAAACCCACAGGTGAAGAAACCAAGAAATTATAGAAATAAATAAGTAAAGGCATCCAGACAGACCAGAGAGAAACAAATGAAAAAAGAAACAACAGAAAAATGAAATGATCAAAAACAAGATTCAGCACTTAATCGCTAGTGTCTCAGCATCAGACACAAACCCAGGTCTGGGCCTTGTAGAGCCTATCTTTTTATTCTTTTAAATATTTTTTATTTATTTATGCTATACAGAACTGGGGTACAAGCCAGAGGTGCAGGGGCGGTGAGAGGCTTCACCAGAGATAGAGTGGGGAGCAGAACAGGCCACCTAATGAAGTACACTGTTGAGGGAAGCAGTGGGCAAGTCAGGAGAGGTCTGCTGTACCATGTGGTCACCTCCAGGGCAGGCGGGGATCAAACTCATGCTGAAGTGGCTTTAGCTTCTTAGTGCTATGCTTTAACCCCCTGCGCCACCAGGGAGGGCCCACAAAGCCCATCTTTCCACTGCAGTCCCCCAGCATCATCCAGGAAGTGTATCTCACCTATTGCTCAACCAACAGCATCTCTACCAGGCCAGGGCTGCAACCTAGGATTCTCAAGATCTTGTTCTACAACAGGGATGCTCAGTAATCCCCTGCTAGGCACCCCTGAATCCAGGATCAGCCACCAACTTCTTTGGAGCAGACACAAGGTCCAGTCAGGGCCTTGCAGAACCTAACTTTTCACTGTAGGCCCCCAGCTACAAATGGGAAGGAGATTCCATTTAGCACTCAGCCACCACGGCCTGGGAAACATACAGTCGGCAGGATGTAGCTTTTCACTTTGGGCCACACTTCACCGGGGAAATGCTCAGCCACCAGAACTTAGGCCAGTCACCTGTGCTTAGGGTAGACAGCCCAGGCAAGAGCCTTGCAGCATGTAACTTTTCACCATGGGCCACTAGCCACACACAGGAAGTGCATCCCATTCAGCAGTCAGCCTTGGGAGCAGATACAAGCACCAGATACAAGGACCTAGATTTTCAACACTGGTGCCCAGCCACTTGGAAAGTACATCCCACTTAGCACTTAGCCACCAGCACCTAGACAGCAGACCCTTGTCCACTCTGGGCATGATATGGCCTCCTTCTATACAAGGAGTTTTCAGCAATCCTCTGTCTCCCTAACCATCAGAAACAGGCCCCAGCTACTTCTCCTGGGTGAGGCAAGATCCCAGCCACTCAACCTCTTGATCTAGTGCCCCCCCCCAACTCCCAGTCACCAGAACAGAGTCTGGAATTGATTTGGGGGAGGCTCGAGCACCATGTCAGATCCTACAAGACCCTAGTAGCTTATGTTGTGCATCAAGTCATGCACAACAAAGTCCCAACTATAGCAATGGAAACCAAAAGCAAACAATAGGGAGAAAGAAAAACACAAACGGTCAAGCAATCCCTCAAGGGAAAATACACCACAGAGAGAAAACAAAATCCAGAATCATATAACAAAGACATGGAAGAGCTTCTTTTACTATCAGACTTAGAATTCAAAATAGCCACAGTTAAAAGATGGGATCAACACAAAGAAAAGCTAAAAGATGGGATCAACACAAAGAAAACACAGAAAGAGGAAATTAATACTATAAGAAACACAATAAATAAACAGAAGAACAAACCTGAAACACTGATAAGAAAATAATGAGTTAAAAAGAAAGCAAAAAATATGGGAAAATTCATGGAATGAGAATAAATCAAATGGAAGATTGAATCAGTGATCTAGAAGGTGAAAGAGGTAACATGAAAGGTAGAAAAAGAGAGAAATGAAGAAGAATGAAGAAACATTTCGAGAATTATCTGACACTCTAAGAAAAGGAAATATAAGAATCATAGGATTCCTAGAAAGAGAATAGAGAGGGGGAACTGAGGCCCTATTTAAAGAAATAGTAAAGGACTTCCCAAATTTAAAGAAGAAAGTGAATATAAAAATAGAAGAGGCACAAATAACACCTAGCTACCTAAATGGAAGGAAAACCACAGCAAGACACATAAGAGCAATAATCCAAGCATCCAAAACAAAGAAACATTAATGAAATTGACAAAGGAGAAGAAATAGCTAGCCTATTAATTAAACCAATTAAACTAACAACAAATCCCTCTAT